TAGTGGCTGGCCGGCGGGTGATCCGAAGATAGCTGTGCGTACAACGTGGCGAAGTCCGGATCAGACTCATATGCCCGGATGAAGTGTCGCTGAAGCTCCTCGTCGAATGCGAAGGCATGATGTGTCATAGCGCAAAGATCTGGTCTTCGCGAGAGTGCATCTGCTGCGCGATTTGAGAGGCCGGGTAGATGTTTCGGTGTGAAGTCAAACTGGTCGATGAAGTACATCCATCGCCCGATCGTGCTGCTCACCGTATCCTGCGTCTTGTAGTAGGTCAATGGATTGTTGTCCGTAACCCATGTGAACCTACGACGCCCAAGGAGGAAGTGCCGCCATCGCTTGAGAGCCATGACGAACGCGAGTAGCTCCTTCTTCCTTGCATCATCAAGCGAGTTTATGGGAGGCACTTTGTGGCTGAAATACTCCACAGGGTGCCAGTCCTCGCCGTCGTGTTGTTCCTAGACTGCCCCAATGCCATAGCCGGAAGCGTCCATAGTCACTCTCGTCGGCAAGGTGGGGAATAGATGCTGAGGACGGGTGCCATGAGCATGGCCGTCTTAAGTGCTTGGAATGACCGGCGTGCGTCGTCATCGAATACGAATGGCACCTTTGGCGACTGTAACCTCGTCATAGGTGCAGCAATCCTGGAGTATCCGATGATGAATCGCTGATGGTAGCCCGCCAATCCCATGAATGAACGAACGTTCGTGGTGTTGGTGGGCTCGGGCCATACTCGTAGGGCCTCAATCTTGTCCGCGAGCGGACGGATGCCTTGCGGCATCACAAAATGGCCCAAGTACTCCAGCTCCTGCCGCGCGAATTCACACTTGTCGCGGTTGGCTTTGTACTTGGCCTGTCGTAGCCGCTCCAAAACGCTGCGCAGGTGTTCCACATGCTCCTCCAAACTCCGGCTGTACACCAGGATGTCGTCGAGATAGATAAGTACGTATCGATCCAGCATGTGTCGGAACTCCGTTGTCATAGCCGCTTGGAAAGTGATCGGGGCATTCGTAAGGCCAAATGGCATAACCAGCCATTCGAAATGCCCATACCGTGTCTTGAATGCGGTCTTGTAACGGTCCTCCTTGCAAATCTCGAGTTGGTGGTACCCTGACTTGAGATCCAGCTTGGAGAAGAACTGGGCGCCGCCCAATCGCTCGAGAAGATCATCGATGCGTGGGAGAGGGCCGGCGTTCCTGATTGTCTGCGCGTTGAGCTTGCGATAATCGATGCACAACCGCAGGTCCTTCTTCTTCCGGACGAAGAGAACAGGAGCACTGTATGGCGATGAGCTAGGCCGAATCTAGCCTTTCTCTAGAAGGTCGTCGAGTTGTGCGCGGAGCACACTTAACTCTTCCTCGCTCATTCGGTAGATGCAACCGCGTGGAGGTACGGCCCCGTCCTCGAGAATGATCTCGTGGCGGATGGGTCGATCCGGTACTACTCCGTGCGGGCCTTCGAACACGTCGCTATAGGCGTCGAGAAGCTCGGTTATGTGTGGATCCGAAGGTGAGTCCGTCGATGAAGCCTCATGGGGCGGGAGGGCGTGGAGAAAACACACCCCCATCTCCTCGATGTCGTCTCTGATGATGGAAGCTCGCATGCTTGCGGCGGATACCACGTGGCAGCTGATCGAAGGATGAGGAAGGGGCACCGTGCATGGAACTAATACTCCGTTCCGATCACGAATGTGAACGGTGCGTTTGAAGAAGTTCACCGGGTGATCCTCGCTTCGCAGCCATGACATGCCCAAGATCATGTCAAATTTGGTGTCCAGAATATCAAAGGACACCGCCTCACTTGCGTGAGGAGCAAAGTACACGGGGACGCGTCAATGCACCGGTCAATTGACTTGTGCGTATGACCGTCTGCCAACGTGACTTGCATAGGCTGGGACTTCCTTCGGACACGTGGGCCAAGGCGGGCACATACCATGAAGTCCTGGCTGATGTAGTTGCAAGTTGCTTCGCAATCGATCAAGGCACTGCAGGTCGCCTCTCCGATCTGAATGCGTATGTATAGCAATGGTGCGTCGATGTCGTCGTACGGTTGCGTCTTGAACTCGCGGTCAATCTTTGCGATGTACGCGAGAAGGTCGACAACCTCTCCTCCGGCGTCCATCAACGGAGCTGGTACTACAGTGTGCAAGTAGTCCCGCAATTGTGCCATAAGCACGTTGCAATGCGGTTTCGGCAATCGTCCGGTCGAGGGAATGGGCATCCACTGGAAATCCGTGAACGTCAATGGGTCGAGCTCTTCAAGTCTTGACCATGACATCGAATCCCCGGCGATAGATTGCGGCGAAGCTGCCGAATCGGTTGCCGATGGTGATGAAACCGTGCATGCGGTGGACTGTTGCGCGTGGAGCGATTGGTCCAGCGGTGGAACCAAGTGGACAGCATAGTCCTCGTAAGTGTACCGAGGACTTGCGACATTTGCATCCTCCCCAGATGTGCAGGAGGCCGCTAGCAAGGCGGCCGAATCTGGCGGAGCAGAAGGTGGAGTCGCCTCACCTTCCGCGGAGCTCAGTTTCCCGAGCTGAGGCGGGGTCGCACATCCTCCTTGCCCTGATCTTGGCACAGGGAGGTCTTGTGCTTGGTGCTGTTGCACCAATAGCAACTGCCGTAGCGGCCACAGACCTTGTACTCTGCCTCGGTCAAGCCAAACTTGACCCATGGAAACTGTCCTGGTTGTCCATTTCCGGCCTGCGATGCGGATTTCGCCTTCCCATTGTTGCGGGCCTTGTTGGTGCTCCGCGGCTGGACAGCATCCACCTGATCTCCGTCACTTGATGCTGGAGTGGCTGCTGGGTTATCTCCCCTATCCTGCTGGACTGCAGCGAAGTGCTGCTGTCGCGGACCAGTTCGTACCTTCTCCACATAGGTCGGCTGCCATGATGTTGATTTCTCGTGTGCAGCTGACCTGTTGGTCTTGATGATCTCCCTCGCTTTGTCAATGATCTCCGCGAAGGTTGAGTACTGCTCGCGATCACCAAGAGCCTGGCTCAATGCAGCACAGGACCTGTTGTAGAACTCACGGCGTAGATGCTCGAATGGTAAGTTCAGATTGGGCACAGCCGCAATCTTCCGCCACTCCGTGAGCCAATCCCGTGTTGCTGTGTTACCCTGTGACATGGTGAACAGTCGATTAATGGCGAAAGCTGGCACGTCGTCGACGATGAACCGCTTCTTCCACAGCCGTGTCAGTTCCTCCCATGTGATTACGTCCTTCAAGTCTGGTACGTCGACGTCGTGGGAGGTTGCCAGGTGGGTCAACCAGGTCTGGCATCCGCCCTTTGAGTTTAGGAACAGGGCGTCGATGTACGCATGCTTGTCTACGTGCAGAATCCTGAGTTGCGTTGTGAATGCTTCCCACCAGAGGACCGGATCCTACTGCATGTAGTCGTTGAACCTCTCCAGAGTGAACGTTGGCATCTTATACATCTTCGGATTGCCATTTGCGTTCGTCGTCTGTAGCTGCTGGACCTCGGTCTTCAATGT